CAGGGACACAGAATCGTTACTCAGGGACACAGAATCGTTACTCAGGGACACAGAATTGTTACTCAGGGACACAGAATTGTTACTCAGGGACACAGAATTGTTACTCCGGGACACAGAATCGTTACTGAGGGACACAGAATTGTTACTCAGGGACACAGAATTGTTACTCAGGGACACAGAATTGTTACTCAGGGACACAGAATCGTTACTCAGGGACACAGAATCGTTACTCAGGGACACAGAATTGTTACTGGGGGACACAGAACCGTTACTCAGGGACACAGAATCGTTACTCAGGGACACAGAATCGTTACTCAGGGACACAGAATCGTTACTTTCTGCTTCAACACAGACGTTCAAAGAGTTTAAATCCTGTTTTAAATCCTGTTTTATGTTTGGGGTGCTTATTGAATTAAAGAGTATGTCAGACAACACGCAGAGGAGTGGCAGAGGAGGCAATGTTTCAGGAGCGAGCAGACGTGGCAGCGGAGGAAGGGGTCGAGGTAGCACTAGTCGCAGCCAGAGGCCAGTGCTCCCGGTGTCATCCAGCGGTCGTGTCTCCACCGACAACCCTGCCGTCATCGATTGGTTGACTCGGTCGTCTTCCTCTTCCCAGGTCACCTCTGACACCTACAGCCAACGGTCGGTGGGTACGTCAGACACAACCGTTAGTTGGCATGGCCCGGGAGCAAGCCCACTGAAATGACGTGTCCTCTACCTGCCCCTGTCCTTTGGTGTTCCCTCACCAAGCGAAGTATCGCATGCTGTGGGCTCAGCCCCACTGTACAGTGAGGAAGAGCTAACAGAGGGCGGTCAGGAACGGGGGGGAGACATCCGCCTCTTCAGCAGCCAGGCGAAGAAGTACTGGCGAGGAGAGTGGCTCGGTAGCCGGTCTAGAGACAGGTCTGTCTCCTGACCCACACGCAGCCGAGGGGGCTAGTAGTGAGGCGGAGACCCTAATTGATGATGATGAGGCTGATCGCACTTGGCAGCCTCGTCGTCATCAGGCTATTGCTTCCGCATCATCAGGAGAAGAGGGTGGCAGCTTGGCAGCGAGCAAAACAGTCGGTGGGTTGCCCAGGAGGCAGCAGGGTTGCAGCAGTGTCAGTGGAGGCAAACGGCCACGGAGTAGAGCACCAGCTCCACTGCAGCCTTCCACCACGGCCAGTAGTGGTGCCGGTGTGCACGGAGGAAGTAGCAGTCAGCCAGTGAGGAGTAGCGGGGGCAAAGTTTCCTACTCGGCGGTGTGGCAATTTTTCGTCAAGCCGCCCGAGGAAGTAAACGTAGCCGTATGTCGACTATGTGGCCAGAAAAGTCAAGCATGGCCAGGGGGCCCATGTTTGGACTACAGCGTTGCGTCAGCATATGCAGCGTCGCCATTCGGTGGCCTTGGAAAACCGTGATAAAGATACGGCGGTTCTGCCTGCCCCAGCCCCCGCTCCATCACCCGCCGCTCCGTTACTTGCTCCGTCACCCGACGTCAATCGCCCTCTATCAGCCAGTCAAGGCTCCAACACCTCTGCTGAGGGGAGTTGTCGCTCGTTGGCATCTTCCGCTCGTTCAGATGCTCCTTCTCCTGCTATTCCTCTTCACGGATTCCGTCAGCAGTCTTTCTTGGAATCCGTTTCCAAGAGACAACAGTTTGCGAGCACGCACCCGACGGTGCAGAAGCTGAACGTCCTCCTGTCCAAGTTGCTGGTGCTGCAGTCCCTCCCTTTCCAAGTGGTGGACTCAGCACCTTTCCGAGAAATGATGGCTTGTGCCGAGCCGCGGTGGAGAGTGCCAAGCCGGCATTTCTTCGCCAAAAAGGCAGTGCCAGCCCTGCATTCACATGTAGAAGAGATGGTGGGCCAGTCTTTGAGAATGTCGGTCTCTGCCAAAGTGCACGGCAGCGCCGACGTGTGGAGCTGTAACTACGGTCAGGGACAGTACATGTCATTTACGGCCCACTGGGTGAACGTGGTGCCGGCACAGCCGCACCAGCAACTTGGACAGGTCACGCCGCTTTTGCCTCCACGTTTGCACGTCCTTGGTCCAGCAAAGATGTCCGCCTCTACCACCTCTTCTTCCGCCGTGTCCTCAGCCGCCAGCCCCGTGCCAAGTCCCATTACCCGACCGGCATATCACATGTGCAGGGCGCAACGGTGTCACGCTGTGCTGCACCTGGTATGCCTTGGCGAACGTAGTCACACAGGGGAGGAACTTCTGAGTGTAATGAACAGAGAAATTGACAGATGGCTGTCTCCGTGCAAACTGAAAATCGGAACCATGTTGACCGACAACGGAAAGAACATGGTGTCTGCTCTGCGTCAAGGAAGGTTGTGCCATGCGCCATGCATGGCTCACGTGTTCAATCTGGTTGTCAAGCGGTTCCTAAAATCCACCATCCCACTGCAAGACATCCTTAAAATGTCACGTGAACTTTGCATGCATTTCAGCCATTCCTACACCGCAAAGCACACCCTCCTTGAGCTGCAGCGGCAGAACGGAATTCCACAGCATCGCCTGATCTGCAACGTTGCAACAAGGTGGAATTCAACCCTACATATGTTAGACCGCCTTTACGAACAGCGAAAGGCCATCACCGATTTCCTGATGTTACAAGCGGATAAAGGTACTCCCCTGTGTAACTTAGATGTCAGCCATTGGCAGCTCATGCGTGACACCTGCCGCTTGCTCAGGCCCTTTGAGGAGGCCACGCTATTCGTGAGTCGGCAGGACTATGGGATGAACGACGTCATTCCTCTGTTGCACGTCCTGGAACAAATGCTGTTAACAATGGCTGGTCAGGGTGCGGTAGACGTGGCGCACAGATCTCAACGCCACATGACCCCTGTGGGGGCAGGACAGGAAGAAGAGGAGGAGGTAGAGGAGGACATTGATGCTCAGGAATTATTGAGTGAAATGGGTGGTTTTTTCCACTCAGCGGACAGGAGTGGAGGAGCAGGAGCATCTGGTAGAGGAGGAGGAGGAGACAGAGGACCCAGATGCACCGTGGAAGTATGCTGTGGAGATGGAGGCAGGGAGTCCCTCGCATTCCTTGGCACAAATGGCCCATAGCATGCTCGGTTGCTTGCGTAGCGACAGCCGAATAATAACCATCAGACAGAGGGATGACTTTTGGCTGTCCACCTTGTTGGACCCTCGCTACCGTTCAAAAATGGTGGCCTTTTTCACACCTGCTGAGAGGGAGGCCAAAATAAAGTACTATAAAAACCACCTATGTAGTCAGTTGGTCTCTGCCTTTCTGCGCCAACGTCCATCCTCAGACACTGTGGGCCCTGTGCGCTTGCGTTCCGCTGCCATGGCAGCAGGGGAGGGGTGGGGTGGTAGGAGCAGTGGCAGCTCCACCAGCAGCGGCTGCCTCAGTCTGCAGTCGATGATGAGTAGCTTTCTTCACCAGCGCAGTGAGGAAACTACTAACCAGCCGCAAGCAGCAGCAGCAGCAGCAGCATCAGGTGGACCTGGAGCAGGACCACAAACAACAGGCTCGGGCCTACTTGGACAGCACCCTGCCAACCGAGGTAGACAATCACCCTTGACTACTGGGGAACGAAACTTGACCCCTTTGGCCCCAACTAGCTGAATTTGCCCTTGACAAGGCTTGTCATGCCCGGCCAGTAGCGTGGCATCGGAGCGCGTGTTTTAGTGCGGCTGGAGGAGGTATTGTAGAACTCCGCGGAGGACACGACTGTCCACCCAAAGTGTGGAGAGACTCACGTTTGTGAAAAATGAATCAGGCGTGGATTAGTCTGGATTTCAAACCACCAGTTCCTGACACAACTGGACTAAATCTGCCATGAATCATTGCCCCAAACATGTTATTATTTTTAACATAGGCCTCTGTATGGCCTTCAATTTAAAGCTGCTTACGCTTCGCCACTCTGCAGGGCCATGGGCCCCTGTACCGCCTCCTCTTGCTGCTGCCAGGTCCAGAATGTGTCATGGGTCCCCTGTACGGCCTCCCATTGCTGCTGACTTCAATCGCCAGACTCTGCCATGTGCCACTTTCAGGTCTCAGCCTTGCACTGTTGGTGGGGTTCCATTTTGTGATTAGGGTGCTGTATGGCCTTCCATTGCTGCTGCCATCCACCGCCACCCCTGCGCCATGGTGTCTCTGTCATCTGCTCACGCTGCTGACGGCTTTCCGCTTTTTAACCTAGGCCTGTGTATGGCTTCAGAATAATGCTGCCTACACCGCCACCCTGCGCCATGTGCCTCTGTACGTCTGCTCACGCTGCTGCCAGGTCCATACTGATTCATGGCCCCCTACCGGCTCCTCATGAACGTGGTTCAGCGGGTTTTTGCATCACTTAACGGCAAATCGTTGACAAACGCTGGACGTTCAGTGTTGTGCGCAATTAAGCCAGACACCAAAGGGCAGCACAGACCTGTTATTACTCGCTCAAGCAATGGCTGAAACAAAACCAGTCTCTACCACAAATTGACCCAGACCTGCCCAGGGTCTCGTAAGTAGAATGCACGGAGGAGTAGAGTTCGTTATTGGAATTAAAACTGTGAGGGACTTTTGAACCTAGGCCTGTGTATGGCCTTCAATTGAAGCTGCTTCTGCCATTGGACTCTTGATAGTCGACGACTATCGACTATCAGCGTTTTGTCAACGATTTGCCGTTAAGTGATGCAAAACCCGCCTGAACCACGTTCATGAGGAGATCCGGTGCAGGGGGCCATGAATCAGTATGGACCTGGCATAGCAGCGTGAGCAGACGACAGAGGCACATGGCGCAGGGTGGCGGTGTAGGCAGCATTATTCTGAAGCCATACACAGGCCTAGGTTAAAAAGCGGAAAGCCGTCAGCAGCGTGAGCAGACGACAGAGACACGTGGCGCAGGGTGGCGGTGGATGCAGCAGTATTCGGAAGCCAAACACAGGCCTCGGTTAAAAAGCGGAAGCCGTCAGCAGCATGAGCAGACGACAGAGGCACATGGCGCAGGGGGGCGGTGGACGCAGCAGCAATGGAAGGCCATACAGCACCCTATCACAAAATGGAACCCACCAACAGTGTAAGGAGACCCTGAAAGTGGCACATGGCAGAGTCTGGCGATGAAGTCAGCAGCAATGGGAGGCCGTACAGGGACCCATGACACACTCTGGACCTGGCAGCAGCAAGAGGAGGCGGTACAGGGGGCCCATGGCAGAGTGGCGAAGCGTAAGCAGCTTAAATTGAAGGCCATACAGAGGCCTATGTTAAAAAGTCCCCCCAGCACAGCGTGGGGAGACGACTATTAGTCGTCTCCCCACGCTGCTGCTGGGGGACTTTTTAACATAGGCCTCTGTATGGCCTTCAATTTTAGCTGCTTACGCTCCGCCACTCTGCCATGGGCCCCTGTACCGCCTCCTCATGCTGCTGCCAGGCCCGTAATCTGCCATGGGCCCCCGTACCGACTCCTCATGCTGCTGCCAGGGCCCGTAATCTGTCATGGGCCCCTGTACCAGCCGCCTCCTCATGCTGCTGCCAGGTCCAGAGTGTGTCATGGGTCCCTGTACGGCCTCCCATTGCTGCTGTCTCCATCGCCACACTCTGCCATGTGCCACTTTCAGGTCTCCTCACACTGCTGGTGGGTTTCCATTTTTTCATAGGATGCTGTAATGGGCCTCCTATTGCTGCTGCCTCCACCGCCACCCTGCGCCATGTCCTGTCGTCTGCTCACGCTGCTGACGGCTTCCGCTTTTTAACCGAGGCCTGTGTTTTGGCTTCCGAATACTGCTGCATCCACCGCCACCCTGCGCCATGTGCCTCTGTCGTCTGCTCACACGCTGCTGACGGCTTCCGCTTTTTAACCTAGTCCTGTGTATGTCTTCCGAATACTGCTGCCTCCACCGCCACCCTGCGCCATGTGCCACTTTCGAGGTCTCCTTACACTGTTGGTGGGTTTCCATTTTTGTGATAGGGTGCTGTATGGCCTTCCATTGCTGCTGCCTCCACCGCCCACCCTGCGCCATGTGCCTCTGTCGTCTGCTCACGCTGCTGACGGCTTCCGCTTTTTAACCGAGGCCTGTGTTTGGCTTTCCGAATACTGCTGCATCCACCGCCACCCTGCGCCATGTGTCTCTGTTGTCTGCTCACGCTGCTGACGGCTTCCGCTTTTTAACCTTAGGCCTGTGTATGGCTTTCCGAATAATGCTGCCGTATAGGTCCACCGCCAAACCCTGCGCCATGTGTCTCTGTCGTCTGCTCACGCTGCTGACGGCTTCCGCTTTTTTAACCTAGCCTGTGTATGGCTTCCAAATACTGCTGCCTCCACCGCCACCCTGGCGCCATGTGCCTCTGTCGTCTGCTCACGCTGCTGACGGCTTCCGCTTTTTAAACTAGTCCTGTGTATGTCTTTCCGAATACTGCTGCCTCCACCGCCACCCTGCGCCATGTGCCACTTTCAGGTCTCCTTAACACTGTTGGTGGGTTCCATTTGTGATAGGGTGCTGTATGGCCTTCCATTGCTGCTGCCTCCACCGCCACCCAGCTCGCCATGTGCCTCTGTCGTCTGCTCACGCTGCTGCTGACGGCTTCCGCTTTTTAAACCGAGGCCTGTGTTTGGCTTCCAAATACTGCCCCCCTGCATCTACCGCCTATCTTCTAATCCCCGCCCGCTGCTGCTGCCAGGCCCGTAATCTGTCATGGGCCCCTGTACCGCCTCCTCATGCTGCTGCCAGGTCCAGAGTGTGTCATGGGTCCCTGTAACGGCCTCCCATTGCTGCTGTCTCCATCGCCACACTCTGCCATGTGCCACTTTCAGGTCCTCCTCACACTGCTGGTGGGTTCCATTTTGTCATAGGGTGCTGTATTGGCCTCCCATTGCTGCTGCCTCCATCGCCACACTGTGGCTCCACACTCTGGTTTTGGCCCCGTGACTGCCCAAAATGAGTGAAGTGTTGCGGTGATTCTAAGATCGACGGCACTCATCTGCATGTCATACTGACTGACAGTATTAGTTCTCTTCCCCAGCAGACTCCAAGGGCATTTAAATTAAAGGTACAGTGTTCTGCACTAATATAAAGGCTCTCTGAAGCCTAGAAACACCCTTTTTTATAAGTTAAATTCGTCGCAGCGAATATATTCGCCTCGAATCGAATTTATTCCGCCGAATTCGGCGAATCAGCCGAATCAAATTTTTTTGAATAATTCGCTCATCTCTAGTAATGACGGTGATCATCACTTACAGTGGGACTGCGATAGTGGTGGCAGGCAATCTGACAATGACTGACGCTGAGGGTAAAACTGAAACTTACTGCCCCGAGTGACACTAATACAGTGATCAGTGCTAAAAATTTACACTGTCACTGTACCAATGAACACTGGCTGGATGGGGTTAACAGTCAAGGGGTTAAATATGTGCCTAGCAATGTTTTTGTGTGTGTACTGTGTGCTGTTTTACAAAGCAATGCTGTATGAACAGAACTCTGTTTTGTTTACCAACCTAGAGCTCTCTCCGGTCATTCCCTGAGCCCATTATGCCCCCCATATACAAGAATATTGTATGAAAAAATGCTGCTGTATATTCCCAAGTGTAGCTCGGGGTAAAATGTCAGTACCAAAAGCGGTAACCCCGAGCTACATTCGGGCTCACCATGCGGCGCTGCATAGGGATTCCCTGCAGAGCTTACCTTGTCCTTCGCTCCCACGATGTGTCCCCTGCAGCATCCCCGGCCATCTCCTCCAGCCGATGCCGGCATCCGGCTTCCGTGTTCTGGTCCCTGTGACGTCGGAACGTACGGGCGGAGGCGGGAAATTTGAAAATTTTAAAAAATGTCATTTTTTTCCAAACAAATTTTACATAGCAAAACATTGCTGTTTCAACCCATTTCACATACATTTTGTCCCTAGTGCTTTGTCCTGTCCCCTGCCTGCATTTTGTCTGTTCTTTCTGCCTGCAAACTTAGAAATGTCCATGGCGTCCAAAAAGTGTCCCTTTAGGTCAAAAGCGGGTTTAGATCAGCTAGAGAACAGTGACAGTAAATCAGAACCACTTGCAGAATTGAGTGATAATGATTCGTGGGGAAATTCGTCATCAGACACTGAAAACGATTTTGCGACTTTGCTCAGCAAATGTGCGAACTTGGCGCTATATTTCAAATTTCAGTGTTTTTGGTTTGATTATATTATTGAATTAAATGTATTATTATTATATTATTATTTTTTATGATTATTTATTAAATTATAATTTATGATTTCGTGTTTCAAATTTTAGCATACCCGGGATGTTTAATGGACTCTTGTTCGGACAGATTTCAGTGAGTTATTCCTAAAAATTACAGCCTACAATAAAAAAACTACATATTTCCATGCAAAATAATGGTACCGCTTTCAGCACCAAAAATCTGAAATAATCAGACCGCCAGGGAGGTTAAAGAATTTTCATAACTTTAGTAACCTCTTCACTTTTGATATGAGATTAGTATGAATAAAAAATGGACAATCATTTGTCTGATATTCTAAGTATCTATATAGGGCTTTAGTGGGTCCAAGCCATAAATCATTGGCTGGAAACCACAGATCAGCTTGTGCTGCAGCAAATGAGAGCACAGAAGGAAGAACCCACTACAGTGGGGGTTGGCAACCCATTGACCGTGATCGACCGCGGGGAGCCAACAGGAAGTCCGTTACCGCGGTTCTGCCTCCCCCTAGCCTCTGCCTCTCTCATGTTACAGGCAGAGCTGACAGCAGGAGACAGTGTTGGATGGAGGGCAGGGTCGGGGGCAGAAGGCTGTCCTAGCAACAAATCACCAGCTTGGTATTATGAACTCCAGCAGCTCCCGCTTTCGCCTTCCACCCAGCACTGTGTTGTCTTCTAATCTCAGCTCTACATACGCTGACAGGTAGGCAGTGCTACCTGTGTGTGTGAGATATGAAGGGGGGACAGGAGACACTACAGGGAGGGTAGCTTAGGAGACTCTGTGGGAGGGGGGGCTTAGGAGACACTATAGGGAGGGTAGCTTAGGAGACACTGTGGGAGGGGGGCTTAGGAGACACTATAGGGAGGGTAGCTTAGGAGGCTCTGTGGGGAGGGGGGCTTAGGAGTCACTGTGGGAGGGGGGGCTTAGGAGACACTGTAGGAGGGGGGGGCACAGGAGACCATGTGGGGGGGGGCTTGAGAGGCACTGTGGGAGGGGGGACACAGGAGACCATGTGGGGGGGGGCTTAGGAGACACTGTGGGAGGGGGGACACAGGAGACACCGTGGGAGGGGGGGCACAGGAGACACTGTGGGAGGGGAGACACAGGAGACACTGTGGGAGGGGGGCTTAGGAGACACTGTGGGGGGGTTAGAAGGTATGGTGGGAGGGGGGACACAGGAGACTCTGTGGAAGGGGGGGGTTAGGAGACACTGTGGGTGGGAAGAACAGAGGAGGACCACACGGATGGTACTCTTCAAATAGTCCCCCACTGTATTGGACTGCTACTGGAGATGCCAGGAGGACAGAGGGACGTTATTGCACATCTTCTGGTCCTGCCCAAATTTGGATCACTTCTGGAAAGAAGTGCGTAGTATCTCACAAAAATGTACTGATTACAATCTCTTGGAGGACCCTGCCTGCTAAATGTCACGAATATTCCTGAGAAAAAAAAATGGATTCTACATCACGTCCTTAAAGTGTGCAAATTGAGCATTGTGCTGCACTCGAGGGACTCACACCGTCCTTTTATTCCACAATGGCTTGCAAAAGTCAAGGAGCTGAAGCTGAACAGTATAGAAGACATGGTACTATCCGCTCAAAATAAACATAAGGCCTACTCGAACACTTGGATCCATTGGAATAAAATTGTATTCTCAGGTGAAGGTAATGCCCTGTTTGGATCCTTGTCCAGTGAAGTAATGAGCCTCTCCACTCCTTTTCTAGCATATTCTACCTACCCCCCACAAACCCCTAAATAAAAAATTTGCAAAAAAAGGGACAGAACGTGCAGTTAATGCACCATAAAAGTGTAATTCACTCCTTACACAATAGATTTGTTATCAGAGAAAAGTAGCGGTTTAAAGTGACCGACACATAGTAAAAAACATTCCAAAAAATTAGCTCCCTGCAACAGTAGACTCGTACTGCCTATCTTTCCAGCAGGTGGTCAGTCCTCAATATCTTCAAGCAATACAACTTCATTAGACTCTTCAGTATCTAACACATTCAGGTGTATTGGATACTATGTGGTTCCATTCAAGAGTCTCTATGTCACAATAGGACACATTTGAAAGTTAGAGCCAGCCTTAGGAACCATGGCACACAGTAGAGGACTAGGTACCCATCACAACCAAAAGCAGGTTTTTTGTTTAAGTGGCAAAGTCATTTTAATCACAGCTCATGTTGGCTTTGTACACATGACTATTAAAGTGAATATATACAGTACATAAAATCCAAAGCAGTGTTGTCTAACAGAGATCCTGGTTTCTGAAAAGAAGCAGCAGAGCAGTTCCATGACATGTGACTGTAACTAGACACATTCCATTCTTCTAGCCCAGGGGTCTCCAAACTTTATAAACAATGGACCAGATTACTGTCCTTCAGACTTTGGGGGGGGGGGGGGGGGGGGCTGTGGCCATTGGGATTAAAAAAAATGCTTCATCATCAGCAGGAGTAACTAATTCCTCAAGCTTGGCTGTCAGTGCAAATGGGAGTATTATAAAGCTCCTGGGGTCAGTAGGAGGAAGAATAGTGTTCCAGTGATTGGTATTAGTGGGAGGAATAGTGCCCCATCGGTGATGTTAGTAGGAGGAATAGTGCCCCATGCCTGGTGTTAGTAGGAGGAATAGTGCCCCATCCCTGGTGTCATTGTGGAAAAGAACCCCATCGTTGGTGTCAGTGGAAGGAGTAATGCCCCATTGTTGATGTCAGTGGAAGGAACAATGCCCCATTGTTGGTTTTAATGGAAGGATAAGTTCCTCGTCATTGGTGTCAGTGGAGAGAATAGTGTAGGATAAAGGCAAGCAAAGGTCCACCTCTGGCCCTTGGCCTGCAGTTTGGAAACTACTGCTCTAGCCTAAAAGGTGCCTATCAGGAGTTTGATATGCATAGCCTACCTTTTTTTTGCTTTTTACTACTGGATTAAATTGATGGTGTCATCAGAATGCAGGTCTAGGAACAAGCAGAGCTGTCAATTAATTTCCCCCCCATTAATATGGCTGCCTCCTGCAGCAACACAGAAAAATGCTATGGAAGAAAAAGAGGACTTGGGGAAAAAAAGCAGCTGCAGGTTCTGGCTGATGCCCAGGAGCCCAGTTAAAACCTTTATGTTCCTGCTAAAACATGGCAGAGCAACAACTATGAGCAATGAAAAGCCAGGCTGATTAATCATTTTATACCCTGAGTTTTCTCAGCAAAGGGATTTCTGGTAAGATCAGGGGAGATCTAAATAAATTTATGTCAACGATAAGTGGCTGGATTTGGCTCATGGTGTCTAATGTCCAGCCTGACACAGAGCTTGCCACCCCAATTTCAGCTGAACACTAGAGGGGCAGGTGTCAGTGAGGGCTTCCTTCAGGAAACATTACATATTAACAAAATCAAGAATACTCTACATACAGGTACAGCTTTGTATTTACTAATTTGGTGTACCTTAGTCAAAGAGAACCTGCATTGTGGAAGCTGTTACCAAAAATAGTCTAGTGAAGGGCCAAGATAGTCCTCATTACTGCCCATAGGCAGCTGATCTTTTACTTGGGACTGGCCACCATGCCTTGTCCCACACTATGTCTCTGTGTGGTGGTGGCTGAATGGATGAAGAAGAAGCAGAGAGATCCTTGCTCTGCACATCCCAGGGTATAGCTTCCTCCTCAGCAAGCCCCCAGAATGAAAACAGGAAACACAAGAATGAAATAACCAAATTGCATGGGAAAAGCAGTCATCAGAGGCAGGAATAGCTGGAATTGTCCTAGATCTCAAACTACAGGCACACAAGTGCTTACGCAGAGTTGCATTTCAGGAATTGCACTTCAACTTTTCCATAAGGAATTCAAGGCCCCCTTTGTCCTACCTATACTGCATACACTGTATAAAAAAATATCTGTCTATTTACCTATTTTTAATTCAATCCAGGTTTGGCCACATGATACAGCACCTCCCCCCCCCCCCCCCGTGTAAGTGAATAGCTTGCTGCAGGGGGGGAGGAGGGAGCATGGACAATGGATGGGCTATGGGAGCCTATGGGTGAGAGAATGCAAGCTCCACGGAGAGGGAATTCATATAATCTATGGCAGTGATTATCAACCTTTTGTCAGTCAAGGCACCCTTTAAAATTATAGACAGTCCCGAGGCACCCTTTAAAATTATGGACAGTCTTGAGGCACCCTTTAAAATGATGGACAGTCTTGAGGCACCCCATTCTAAAATGGTGTTCCTCAAGACTGCTCACAATTTTAAAAGGGCCCCCCATTCTAAAATGTGAAAAACTATTCTAATAGTTTTACATAATGCAGCAACCACACACGTAGGACACCCAACGTTAGAGGTAGTTTATTCTTCCAAAGCAAATACACTTTTACACACTGGTACTGAGTAGTATTCCAGTGTTTTCTCTTCTCCCTCAGTTTTTCTCCATAACTGAACTAATGTGACTCTCAGAACTGATGGAGAGCAGCAGAGGAGGGCCAAACTAGGATACTGTGCAGGCAACCGACATCCTCCTTATCAACTGGTGATGTCACTGGTTGTCAGGACGCTGGCAGCTAGAAGGTCATTATGATGCACAATGAAAACCTGTGACTTTGTGTAACTAAAAGGCAGGCTTCATCCACCCGCTGGCTTGTATACAAGTTTTGGCCAATTCTTAGACATTTTGCCAAGGCACCCCTGAAGAAAACTCAAGGCACCCCGGGGTGCCTGGGCACCCTGGTTGAGAAAGGCTGATCTATGGTCTGCCTTAGAGTTAGCCTTTGCTAAAACTTTGAAGATGGACTCTGGGCAGATACAGTATAGAATACACAAAAATAAATACAGCTCTACATTAATTATACCATTGTTCACATTTTTTAAGGGCAAGCTAAGTACCTGAATTTCACTTGGAATCATCCTCTTGCCATCTCATGTGCAGCAGATCTCAAACTAGGGGAGGGATTAGCAGCAAAATGAAAGTTTAGCTATGTGTCCAGAGTTCAGATTTAACCTTTTATATATATTCCCTATAACACAGCAAATGGTCACTGGTTGAGTATAGGTCCACCTTAATTTATTCTGGCTTAATTTTTGTTGAAGTGCCCTCTTTGAAATCCAAGCCCTATGCACACCGTTCTGGAGCCTAGTAAGCATTGTCCAAAGCGCTGGGATTAAAAGATTGTATTGAGCCATTTACAGGCACAAGTATTCATTTCACTTTGCTGTAGGCTGTACCAGATGCTGCAGGCACCTTCACTTTCAGGAAACATTGTATCTGTGTTAAAGTCAGCAAGACCTTTCAATTTGCCTTAATGTGAGTTAATCATTGTAGCCACATTCTGTAGCCTTTTGGCAATGCTTCTTGGTTGCGTCATAACCTTTTGCGACACAATTCATACCTGTGCAAGCTCCCTCTCCGAGAACTGCAGAGGGTGGTGGTGGAGCCAGCAAACACGCCTGGCCTATGTATCCAAAGCCTCAGATTCAGAGTCATTGAGAAAATAAGGATATGAGAAATTTGGGGAATTAAAGTAGAATTATAGGCAAAACTATTTTGTTTTCATTTTGGATAGAGTAAGGAAGGGTTATAATCCCTATCAGTTTATTTTTTTACCATCTGCATCCCATTGGGGAGAATTCCCTTCATTTCCTGTCCCATAGCCAAAACAGGAAACAAGAGGAAATCCCTGCAAATTAAGGGAATCTCTAGGCCCCCCCCCCAGGTCACCAAAACTAATATCTCCATTGAAAGGTTTCCTTTCTATTACTTTTTTGGGGACAACCCAAAATGTGGGATTTTCTTTTATGTTCACTTTCAATGATAATGGTAAACAGGACAAATGGAGAGGGTGAATCTCCCTAATGGGGGCGCAGACAGGTGTTCTATTCCCACTCCCCTCTATCCAAAACAAAACAAAAAGTTTTGTCTTTAGTTGTATTTTAAGTATACCTGCAGTCAAAACTTTGGCTATAATGTGGGAGACAGTTTGACAGAAAACCGTCAACTCTGCATGTCTGCATGTTGACACTGCATGGTGGTTCCCAGCTGCTATGCTACCTCTATACCAGGTGTCTCCAAAGTTTCTAAACAAAGGACCAGTTTAGTGTCCTTAAGACTTTGAGGGG